ATTTGATGTGCAGTTGTTCAAATTGTAATTTGTCATTGAATAATTTTTGAATGAATGAATCATTTGCAATAATGTTACAGTTTTTTTATTTAAATAATTTAAAGTTAAAAGCTGCCCATACTTCTGATCCATACAATATGATTGGCAGAACTGTACTTCTGAATAGTTGTATGGCATTCTTTGGTGAAATGGTATAATTGTGCACATTTAGTGTCTGTCTTAGTGCACCTAGGGCTCGCTGTGCTTTCATCACTAAGTTATCTATTGCTAGTTTAAAGTTTCCACTGCTATGAAAGATAATTCCTATGTATGTATAAATGGAAACTATCTGTATTTGCCTATTACTTAAATAAAAATAAAAATTATGACCCATGATTCTACTCTTTTTATTAAATATTATGATTTTAGTTTTATTGATATTTACCTGTAATTTCCACTTTTCACAATAACTGTTTAATTTGTTAATACTATTTTGGAGTCCTGTCTAAAATAGTATTAACAAATTAAACAGATGTACGTGTGAAAGTTGAACTAAATCCGTTCCGGCATGTCGGATATATGGACCTGAAACTGCATTCGTTGATACAAAATGACCGACTGAATCCAATCCGACAAATATAATGACGTACATCAAGGTTCTATTATGTTAAACCATTGAGTCAACACAGGTGGCACTATTACGCCTAACTAGCCCATGAAGGCTAAATATCCATCCGCCAAAATTTTACTCAGCGTCCTTCCGCGTAACTATATACAAGTATTTATCTTGGTTTGAACACATTCTCTCCCGATTTTTAGCAAGATTTAATCATCAATGAGTTGATCAATTACAATAACGCACAACACTCATCAGAATGTCTTATTTTATTAACATTAAAATGGATGTGAATTGGGAGGTCAAAGGTCTATTTTTCTATTTTTCTCAACCGAATAGCGCCACCTGTATTGACACAATGTGGAAATAGTTCCGACCACCTTCCCCATAATTCCACGCACGCACGGTATGTGTCAGATCGGTTGGTTTGCGGCGATATGCGTGTCAGTGATGTTAAACGTATGTACCAAACAAATCAGTTCATGACTGGGACCTAGTGAAATGTCTTAGTAGGCAAATATACGAAGTCATACACAAGATATAAACACTAAATGAACACTATTTAAAAACATTTAAGCCGATGATAGTGATATGAAATTACAAATAATTAATGTCTGTTAACATGTACATGTTAAAAATCCAAATCAACTAAATACAATTTAATATAAATTACCGATATGAAATCAACATTAGGCTAATTAATGTATTTAATGAAAAGTTATAAATTTACAAAGATACAAAATCCATTTAACCAAATTATTGCCATTATGGATGAATGTTTTCGTGTATAATAGTGGTAATAACAACAACAAACCAAACAAGTCTAAAATACATAATTTGAATAAATTATGTTGATGAAGCACGATCACAGTATACACAGTGCTTGAAGTACACAGTGTATAGTGGAAATAACACACCCGTAGACTAGTCGCATTGAAAATAATACAATAATATCATGAACAAACAAATAACAACAACAACCAAAATATATCAAAATACATTATAAATCATATAAAAAAGGTGAAAATGTGTTATAGACAAGTTTACAAGTTATAATCCTCTTGGAGCAGGTATAATCGGTGAATGAGTTAAATATAATGCAAATAAAAAAATACAAATACATATCGAAAAATTAGTCTTGGCTATTTTCAGTTTACCCATTGAGTTCAATGATCACAGTATTCACATGATATTCGGATTAATTCGATCAAAATATATGATTTGATAACAAACACAAAAATAAAATAGGTTAGTATATGTAGGTTTCATTCTGGCTGGATTCATAAGTAAACATTATATAACACTGTGTACAAAACACACAACACAAGTTTCAGAAATACTTAGAAATTACCAACATTCGTATTTTAACACACAGCATTACATTCAGCATCATTAGTACCCCCCCCCCCACACACACACATATAACGACATACCAGCTGAAGTGAGTTTGGCGTCATAGTGGCAGTTTTATAGACATATCATTTCGCTTTAATACGCTGTCAAGTGATTAGTCGTAAATACGTGAAACTATGTTTTAACACCGTTGGGCCGGGTGCTTGTTTGTGTGAACATTTCTTGTACATCGAGAAAATTAGAAAAATTAAAAAAAATGACATCCTGTCAGCGAAGGGAGTCATACGTGGCTCTTGACCCAGTGAACGTTATCACCTCAAACGTCCTCCAATCAGAACTGTTTGTAATGACGTACAGTACAAAGAAACACAATTCTACTACTATTTACTCTACTACTACTTTACATTCTAATACTACTTAACTGTCCATTCAATGTAAAAACACAGTCGCAAATTAAACAAAGATTTAAGAAGGGGTTTCTTTCTGACAATTTTGAAAACAGATTGTTTCGATATCCAGGGTCGTTGATAGTGAAAACAAAATTGCCAATTTGGAAACACTCATAGGTTAGGATATTTATGTGTGTATATGTCAATGTTAAATGAAGATAGTTTGAAGTCCGGGGATGGTTGTAGTACAAACGGGCTTGACTAAACACAATTCAGAGAAAAGTAGCGCGGGTCATTTCGTCGTAATACAATCCTGTCAAAATTACAAAAGTACATAGTTATATAAAAAGTACATATAAAGATAGGGATCAATATTTTTTGTAACAAATACAATTAACATAATTTTATGCAACAATAATATGCACACTAAACTAAAAAAATTAACTAATATCGCATCAGTATTTGTGGACCGCATAATACCGGTGAAAAGTTGAACATTTGTTGAAAAGTGATATAAAAACATTTAAATTGCATTCTTCTACATTTGTTGAGATCTTTCACCTGGAAGCAATATCTTTTTCGCTGTGACCTCCTCTTTAATTTGTTTATCATGAATTTCAACAAAATTAAATTAGAATTAATTAATTAATTAATTAATTAATTAGAATTCTATTTTGCTGAATGGTGTATGCCTAACACTGCCAGTACTGTACTTTTAAATATATAAAAGCAAGTAAACATTCCATAATTGTTATTAGCTTGCGCAACTAGTAAACCCAAAGCTGAAATATATAATATAAATATTCGTGATTGTATACATTATCAAAATAATGTCTTACTATCCATGTATACTCATTATAAAAAATATACATTTCGTGGAGCACTCTCACATCATCACCATAGCGCGGAGTGCGATTTGCATACTGAAATCTGATCGCCATTTTGTCTTTTATACAACCAAAGCCACGGTTTTCAATACGTAATTTTTTTACAATGTTATCTACCTATATGACTAGTCGAGTCAATATTTGAAATTAGATAATAAGATCATACACTTAATCATTACAAATTTGTACTAATATTATTATACTGATTAATAATAATCTACTGAAGTAAATGCACTTTTTGGGCTGGACTACTAAACCACCAATACGCTTCTGTAACAATTTAATGTCATCAATTGACAATTGTGATAACCTACTGCTACTGTAGACTACTAATCTGGTTTCCGTAATTATGCACATTTCAATTTCCATAATTCTTTCAACTTATATATCAAGTGTGTCTACAATAATTTTAACGTAGGCTGTGTCATCTTTCACGTATATGTGCCTGGCGCTGTCCAACATGTTTAGTGGCATAAACAATGGGCATCCAGATGCAATGTTCATATCACCTGTTGGACGCTGGAATGAATTCGATACGGGATCTGGTCGGAAAGCATCAATCACGTGTTCCCGATTAGATTGATCCAACCACATCAAAGTGACTTTCTGTCTAAATGGCCATTTTAAGATTGCGTCATACTCTCCTTTCATCACTACAAAGAACAGAGACACGTGATTTCCCTTCCCCATACCGTCTCCATTCAAATAAACCCGAGCACATAATTTGTATCCATGACGACCAGTGAAGAAATACGGAGAATATATGGACAGCGCGCGCCCTGAGATTGAATCACGCCGTTTTCTAGCGAAATCGGTAATTTTCCAAACTAATATGCCATCATACGAAGCCATCTCAAGTGCCTGGATCTTCAAATCGTGCTCAGCTAGCGTTACATCTTTGAGAGCGATGATGCGATCCTGACCTTTGCATTTATATTCAAGTGCGTTAAGTTGATCTTCTAAAAACTTCCTACTTGGCTCAATACTCTTTATCGTATTTGCATTGCTCTGCACCTCAGTATTTAACAATGTCACAATTTGCTGTTGTGTCTTGATATTCTTTTCTAAACTAGTAATCTTTGTCTCCATGTTATCTATTTGTTTGCCGATCTGTTTAGTAGTTTCACTGTATTTATCGTCATAGCTGTCATTTTGGTGTTCCATGTGTGCCGAAATTTGTTCTATCTTGGCTCTAGTGTCGCGCACACGTGTTTCTAAACTCGATAACTCTTTCCTCAATCCTTCAGTTGCCGAATTCAACTGACGAATGTGTATCTTGTCTTCCGCCATAGTTGTTTTAGCTTCGTTTAATTGTTCGATCTTCAGTCGGAGTAGGTGCATATGGTTATGAATTTCCGATTCGTTATGACTGGCTTCTCCTTCCATTTCAACCTGCATATATAATATTATGTAAAAATAATTTACTAGCTAATATGCACGACGAACACGCCACATCGTTCTTCATAAATTGTCGTAAGTAAAGGGTATTTGCTGGTTGTGGTTAATGAACAAATCATATTATCTCAAGTGATCTGTTTATCCTCGGGGTGGAACTACGTCAGAAGACGTTCTACGTTGCTAAGACGCGCACCCCTGTACCTTGTATGTCTATGGGCTCTGCTGTGGAACGCCGGTCGAAGAGCCGGTGAAAATAGCTAAATTCGAGAAGAGTAATCCTGTACGAATTTATATAAGTTACACATGCAGGGGTAATCTTGTTACACTGTTCAGGGGAGTCTCAACAACCATCGCAAAGTACGTTTTCCCAGAGTTTTCGGCCTTTGGTTTACCGTGACAGTTGCCAGTCGGTGGAAATGCTCGGATGTCCGCCCGAGAATATGGTTTTTTTGCGTGTCTCTGTCTGCCAGTAAGTAAGTAAGTAGGTCTGTCTGTCTGTCTGTCTGTCTGTCTGTCTGATTGTATGATATATCTCCTTCTTTTGATGAGAAGAAATGTGGGAACTGGTCCCGTGTGTCAGTACTATTACGTCATAAATGCAAAAAGTTGTTCTGACCAGAATGTTGCAGCCAACAGCGGCGAATATACACGGTCTCATCTTCTTCGTACAGTCGCCATTCTCAACGTCAGTATGTTCTTTTAACTGAAACAATTAGAAAAATAGCAACATAAAATTCAATCTATTATACCAATTTTCATAATAGTAATGTTATAGTAATGATTCACATACCTTTTCTCTGGGAATTTGGATTCCACAGAAGTTGCAAGGTACGACCATTTTTTCACACGATTCCAGATGATCCTATGCAAGTAGTCAAAACACAAATAACCAAATTCAAGGCACTTGTACAGTTGTATTTGTCATTTGAATGCTTTCTAAATAAAGTTAATATATATGTTAATATATATACGGCAAATATATTTATATGCAGCAACCAACGCTAAGAAATTCCAAATAGCATTACCTGTTTGTTCTGATATATAATCTGGACATCACAATACATGCAGTTCACTGTTCGCATCGGGCAATCATCGTCGCAGTGTTCACGCAAGTAGCGTTGTTGGATTTCTTGAAGACATCCATCCCTGGGACATGTGATTACAGCATATGTGCATATTTCTTCATGTCGCTGTAAAATGCAAATAAGGAGATAAAAAGGTCAGATAAATGTCAGGCGAAACTAGCATTATGCAAGGCAATTCTCGGAAACTGTGATAACACAATTTAAACTTCGATATTAAGGTAGAGATGCAGGTTCGTGGGCACTTGGGAGTGATTTTGTTTTTGTTTTTGATTTTTATTATCCAAACAGTCTTGGCTATAGACTGTAAAAGTCTTGTAGAATTGTGAATAGTGGAACATACTCAAAAGACGATTTTTAAATATAAATAACAGGTGCAAACATTCTCTCTTTTGAATGCTTAGCAAAATTTAGCAAGGCTGTACATAAATAATAAAAAAGAAACATAATGAAAAAAAGAAATGACGGGATCTCCATATTATGCACTATATTTAACGTTTTACAAAATTATAATACATTTAAATTTGGAACTGTTACAGCCATTTTAATTATGAGCATTAGCAAATTTCTTACTGAGTGAATTTTTATGCAAATTAGCAATTATCTCAGTTTCAGTAGTGCACATCCCAGAACTTCAAAAGAAATAGCTCCTAGACGCTTTGAGCTTTTGTCTTGAAATTTTCACAAATGATTGACAATGTGTTTATCTTCAAAACGCCGTCAGGGCATTGTTTTTGGTTGAACAGTGTTACAACAATCGTACAGACAACTCGGGTGTTAATTTATGCATAAACTTGAAGTAGTGAAATTTGAGCTGCTGCCCTGAAAAATTGACAACTGGTAGACAGTTTTCAAGACGGCACTTTCTTCATAGTAAACAGATGTACCCGTAAACCAATTTTGACAGGAAACAGAAGCATGGTTCAGAAGCTATTTTTTTAAATTTCTTTTGACCAAAAAAAAGCATATTTTTGTGCATATTTCAAACTACAGTGTCCATAAAAAAAATACTAACAAAATTTTAAAATTCATACAATAAGCTTTCCGAAAATATATAGTTTTGTGGACAAAGGAGGTCATCTTGGTTTTCTGTCAGGTAAACTGCATCTCTACCTTAAGTTATATAATAGGGTGATGTTCAAAATTACATTTACAAATTTGTCGAGTTTGCAGGATGTATTTTTTAACAAAGTAGAGACATTTCAACGGGAACATATTGTGCTCCATTGCTGACTTATTTATTTGTTTATTTGTGACAAAACTGTTTACAAAATTAGTTAAGATTAAACAGTATGAAGAAACCAAATCTTTTAATTTCATATTCCGATATATTGATGATGTACTTAACAATGCCAAATTTAGTGTTTATATCTTGTTGAACTTCAGATATAATCTGCTTCTTCTGTTTCATACTTAGACCTGTGTCTTGAATTTAACTCTGTGATAAGAAAGGTGATTTTAATTTTACTATCACCAATATTCCACATCTTTGCAGCAATATTCAACTCTCTGTTGCCAGTGGAGTATATTTTATCCCAGTTTATTTGATATGTGAGGGCCTGTAGTACGATCATTCATCAGTTTATTATCATTATTATAAAGCATAATACATAATGCATGCACAATATCGTGTTGGCCAATTACAACATTCGCTTAGAATCCAAATCACATGCCTGATCAACAATATTCTAGTTTTATCTTAAAAAACTTGAGCCATACATTCTTCATGCAAAATATCAAGTTGATCGATTAAAGTATTTATGATGTCCAAATTGCGACCATAATTGTCAGATATCAAACATTACAGCCAAACCACGTGACCTTTGGCTTTTCATGTTATATAAAAGAACAAAATAATTTTAATCAGTCACGTGGTTTGGGCGATATCATAGATTTCTTGCAAATATAGTCGAATTTGGGCCGAAATCACAGGCAACCTTTTTTTCTCACTGATTTGACAATGTACTATAAAACATTAGTTTGTTGTCATGGCAACATGTATGTATGTTAGTTTTGTGGCACATTACTTAGTTCCACACTGTGTATTCAAGGTCATGCCAGTGCTATTTTCAGTACCGCTTTAAATACCATGTCTTATAGGTGTGTTCACACAGGATTTAAAAAAAACTGTGATTGTTCTCAACTACACATAATTATATCGTATTATAGTGTGCGTCTGCTTACAGACTACAAAGCGCGTTGCCGGGATCGTGAGTGTAATTCGCATGTGTGCATGTTTATAAGTTTGTAATTTACCTGTACTTATTGCAAACGATTCATGTTTTGTTTAGGTCTGATTGCCATGCTGATTTATTCGCTTGTAAATACCAGAGTGTTGTAAATGTGGACACAAATTACAACTTTAAACAAGTGAACTTTGAGTTCTCGTAAAATGAATACTTTACAGACATTTGAACGAGAATTCAGTCTCCTTGGAAGAATTCAGTCTCCTCAGGAGAATTCAGTCTCCTCGGGCGATGTTTACCAATGAACGTTACGTATAATAATATAACGATTTTACTTTCAAATCATGAATTGATGTTGTCAGTATAATATGAACATATTTAGAAATATAATATAATATTATATAATAATCATTATGCATTAGGAATGAAGGAAGAAAGAAAGAAAGGAAGAAAGAAAGAAAGAAAGAATGAAAGAAAGAAAGAATGAAAGAAAGAAAGAAAGAAAGAAAGAAAGAAAGAAAGAAAGAAAGAAAGAAAGAAAGAAAGAAAGAAAGAAAGAAAGAAAGAAAGAAAGAAAGAAAGAAAGATTCAACTTACTTGATATTCAATAAAAAATCCTTTCCATTCACATCCATCATTGATACATTTGACAATAAGTTTCCTCATTTCACGGGAAATCGCTCGGTCGGGAAATATCTAGTGTTGTTATTAAAACAGAGAATGTTGAATTAACATTTTTTGCATTTGTAAATATGAGTATCATTTGTTTAATGCTGTGATAAATGTTTATAGACTACACGCGTGATTTCTATAATCATTAATCATCGATATTCATTTCATATAATGTGAAAAACAACAAATAAATTTGAAGACAGAGATGTCATGAGCTCATAATCCGGACATTTTTTTAGCAAAGTTCGGTAATACAATAACCTTATCTGGTGTTATTATGCTGTCTGTACATTCAGGATCGTCTGCCAAGCATATTAAACATCGGTAGATACCATTTAGGCTGCGATTGTATTTTAAATAAGATATGTTTAATACAATGCATATATATAGCACCCTTGGTCATGTACCTACTAATGGAAACACTACAAGAAAGTGTGAGTTAACGAATTTAATGCCATTCTTTTGGTCACCAACAATTTCAAGTGAGTGTTTCTTAATTATACCACAAGAAAATTGCATGATAAAATTGCAAGATTTAGCAATTGGCTGCATTGCCAGCATACAGCGCTGAACGTGTGTTGATTCACGAAACAGCGTATAGTACGCATCGATATTTTCTCATGAATAATTCAAAAGGTTCCTCTTGACATTGCAATGATGCTGGCCATAAGTGTGGCTGTACCACTTGAAACAGCGCAGCTACGTGTATGATTATACATACATATAATACATACGTAAATTAAACTCGTAATAGATAAATCTAAGGCGACAAACAATAGAAAAAAAACAAGACATAGTATCGCTCATTTTGTGAATTATTATTCACAAGGATTTAAACTGGAATATATATTTAACATTTTGGAAACTATTGGTCATTTTGAACCCAGTATACATATGATCACAATATTTCTATTTATGCCACTAAACACAGTGATATACTTGACTGAAAGTTATTAACATACTTTGGCAGTATATTGCGTGCAGACGCGAAATTAATAGCAGCAAATGAGTAATATGTCGATATTACAATTAATGAATTGATTTTTAATAATTATTCGTGATCAAATGTGTCAGTCTGGGCAAAGAGATACAATATATATATAATATATATTTGATAGAACAACGAGATATTAACAAATCAAAATGAGGGAAACGTCATTACATTGGAACATTTGTAATACATTTCATTGTTGTTTGTAGCAGTGTTTCTCACCTAATTTCGCCTGTAATGCATGGTTTGCAATATCGGTGTCCACAGTAAGCCTGCATTGGTTCCCTCAAAACTAGAGTACAGAATGTACAAATGAATTTCACGCACATATCTTCGTCTGAGAGAATCAACTTCGAATAACCACCCTTCCACTTTCTTGGCGGCCTGGACGCCATTTATTAAGATGAGCAGCGCAGATGTGTCTGTATAAACAACGATTTAATGGTGGTTAGTAAAACTGAAATGCAGAAAACATAGCATCAAGAAGTATATTTAATCTAAAAAACGACATGTCTGTCAACAAACCATGTTATTATATGTTTAGACGTTTAGGAAATAATTTATAGTTTATGTAGTGTAGTTAAGCTTCATTTCTAGTAAATGTATATGGCGGATTTTGACAGAAAGTGCATGAGGAAATGTACAAGTTCCTGAGAAATACTTATTTTAAGCTGATAAATGTGTAGTCGATTATGTTACTTGTTTATACTGTCATTATCACGAGTCCATTTGTTGAATAAGTCCAGTTACCATCGATTCAATTTATTTTTGACGACGACGTCATTATGTTAATGTTTGCATACTCGTCTGTGATTCGCTCATTTCAGATGACTGTGAATACTATGTGCTGGTTGGTTCTATTCAGTCACGTGACTGTGTCTATATATAGTCACTACTTTTGAATGCGCATTTAAATTTCACTAAGGATATCGATGGCATCCCAGTGAACTTAAACTCACAGCCCAAGTTTATATTGTGGCTTTCGTTAGTCGATAGACAACCGTTTATTCGGACTACATGGAGTTAATAGTTTGGATTCAACGTACAACATAAAAAACCTGAGAACCAGAATGTCAGGTTATTATAATCCCTTCTAACATATTTTCCCCGCTGTTACTAACAGGAACTATGGAGATAAGAATACAGGCAAACATATCTTTGGCACTGAGCCAACGTCTATTGGTGTTTACATACTCGCATTATCCATGGCATTAGGTGCAGATAGAAATGCAATAAAAACAATAAAGTGCGATTATATGTATATTTATCGCATGCATATTTCAACATTCCGTAAAAGTGAAACGGTGATAGTTCAAAGTAGAACTGAACACCGAATACAAATATATCATTGCGCCCGCCTTGTATGCTAATTTTGTTGACGTCCCGTGAGATTTGCTTTATTTCGCTAGGATAATCGTTTGTAGCTCAATCGCTGGTTTGGAGGGACTGAATTCCGACAATTGCTAAAATGAACCATTCTTAACCTATCTGGAGTTATCGGACCATAAATAAATCCATAACATGAACCCGGAAGCTCCGCTCAATCTTTAGACAGTACGTACAATCATGGATGCACTAGTACATCCATGGTACAATGAAAACGGCTCGATCTTCGATTTTCGATCTGCCCTGCGTTACGTCACACTGTGGGGATTAACGCGCGTCGTGTAAGAACAATGGTGTATGTGTGATGAGGGGGAATTGTCCAATTGCTTTGTTTATTTAAACCATAAGCTACATTAAACATTGCTATACATTGGGAATTAAATTGCAGCACCAAATTGGCTGCCGTGTCAGGTTGGCATACACATATAATGGCAGTTGTTACTGTCGGGTCAAAGGTCGTTATTTGTATTGGTTACAATACAAACGTACGTGACTGCTAAAAACATGTAACTGAATTAGTGGTGGTGAACTATCAAAATAACAAATGCGTCTAGCACTGTGGTAATATTTTGCTTGCTGCAAACACAAACACGGAAATAACACGGGTAGTGTAGTACATACGAATAATATTGTAGCACCTACTTCCCAGTGTATATGTGGGGCACGGCTAATATGATTTGCGCGTTATTCATGATCGGATCCTGTAGTTGACATGTAAAAGTGGGTCACGGTACGATGACTCACCTTCGACAATATGCAAGATAATAACCACTGGTTCAGATGCAGGTTCTGTTACGGAGAACTACCGATAAACAACTCCTGAATTAGTCATAATTTTCGGGAAATCCCCACTGCAGGTCATTGGCCCATTGTCATTTTGCAGAAAAACTTATGTACGATAAATCCGTACAAGTGTAAGTACATATGTGAGGGTAGCATTATACTTGATTGTGGAGACAGTTGAGCAAGCTGAATTTTTGCGACAAGATGATTGGATTGGTTGTTACTTTAAAATTCATTAATGTCTTCATATTCACTCATAAATATAACTACACGCTTCCTATGCATGAAATATAAAATAACTGAATAGGTTTAATGTGCAATCATTGATTACATATTTATTCGTGGAATTTCCGTAACACTGACCACGTCTTTTTTTACAAAATATTTACTTCACAAATTGCACCATTTGATATGTCAAATACTTTTTGACACTATTTGCATGTCCGGTATCTCAACAAATGAACATCTACCGGTTCATCTCAAGTAACATACTTTGGTATAAGTATGTTTCCTCAATTTCATTATGTATACCCGCTATTAATCACAAAGATATTTTGTAGTTTGTATCTTGAGTGCAATTGCATGATTCTGAAAGTGAGAACTCCTACAGAGCAGAAAGAGTTAAAGGTGAGAAGTAATTTGCAATAGCCGCCACTTGATGGCGCTATTCACAAATCGATCCTATGCAATCTGTGAGGTTGGTATAAATCTATTGTACAGTCTCCGGTCACAATGTCATCATTTCACGACATAAGACCTGACTGACTGCATTTAACGAATCAGTTATATTTCTATGCTGAGTTAGATATAGATTTACGATGTCTGGTCGAAGAAGTGGTGAGGATGATATTATTTAATTAAAGGTCGAAAAACTGCATTTCTCCAGTACTGACTGACTAAATACCAATTAGACAGGACTTGTGATCGTCGCCATAGGGGACAAGGTACGAGCTAATACCAACACACAATGTAACGGAGCCAGACTAACTATTATTTTGCCGTGTATTTATAGTATATTAACTTTGCCCATAATTGGTCATTTGTACTTTGATCTGGGCATATATCATGTTGATTTAGAATAATAAAAATATTATACGGTATCGCCGTGCATGGGGTATCTGTGTTCTATTCTATAATTTGAACGGTATTTTAAAAATGGGGGTCATGTTGAAAAACGAAGCTCAGGAAGTGATACTCGTGTATATTATTTTGTTCAGTTATGGGCTTCACATATAACGTGCGCTTGAATCAGGAAAAATGTGTAACACCGAGGATACAGCAAAATTTGAACTCAGACAGAGCACCGTCACATAGACCGCCGCATAGTACTCTTAGTGAAATAAGAATCAGAATCCTATCACAATTATGCAAATAAGACATGAAGTGCAGACTTAGGTTGATCCTCGATTGCCTCCAGCTCCCAGTACAAGCTTAACTGTCGTGATTCTTTCCATCCCTCGATTTAATTCCATTGAATTAATACACCTGCAGCCGTGTTTAGTGAATAGGTTGGTCAATTTCGAAGACACCCAGGGCGAGCCACTGATATGAGAAAACTCAGATAACGTGGAAGCCCACGAAACCTTGTTGACTACATTTCCGTAATGGCAAGGCATGACAAAAAATGGAGATATTATGTTTGAATCTTTTATTATTAATGTACATGATTGAGAATAGAATCAAATCAGTATATCGTTAATCTGTTTAAATACATATTTATGATATTAAAATTCAGTGTTCTTACATAGAGATTAGTCAGTGGAATGTTATTTTTAAGATGCACTATGGACGGGAACATATTTATTGACATTGTTGTTTTATACTGTTTATCATATACTAAAAGAGCTGTTTTTGCAGGACAAGCAACCACTAATGCTTATGTGCAGTGAATGATATTTTTACATGTTACCAAAAAAAAGTACACATGCATACTAATTATTTCATCGAACATATGCTCGGATGTTTACTATTAGAACAGCGTTTTCATAAGTCATTATTGATAATAGTCCATCTATCAATGTACAACAATGTTCTCGTCCATATTGCATTTTGAGAGTATTATTACCTGATTACATGATTCTAAAGTTTGATTTCGATTATATTGTATATTGATAATTGTTTCATATGTCAATTGTATCTACGATTACTTTAACGAAAGCTACATCATCTTTTACGTATTGCCGTTCAGGCATATCTAACGTATTCAGGGGCATAAAGAGTGGACATCCAGATGCGACATTCATGTCACCTGACGGGCGTTTAAATGAAGTGGAAGAAGGATCGGGTCGAAACGCATCAATCACGTGTTCCCTATTAGATTGATCCAACCACATCAAAGTGACTTTCTGTCTAAATGGCCATTTCAAGATTGCGTCATACTCTCCTTTCATCACTACAAAGAACAGAGACACGTGATTTCCCTTCCCCATACCATCCCCGTTCAAATAAACCCTAGCACATAATTTGTAACCATGGTGACTGGTGAAGAAATACGGAGAATATATAGATGGTGTACGGCCGGAAATTGCGTCACGTCTCTTCCTAGCAAAATCACTAATCTTCCAAAGCAAAATTCCGTCGTATGACGTCATCTCAAGCGACCGGATCCTCAAATCATGCTCCGCCATTGCTACATCTTTCAATGCGATAATACGATCCTGCGCCTTGCACTTTGCCTCAAGAGACTGCATCTTCTCTTTCAGCTGTTTCCCATTTTGTTGGACGTTATTAGTATTCATGGAATTGTTCTCCACGCTTTCATTCAACATCGCCACGATTCCCTGTGAAGTGCAAACCTTTCTATCGATTACAACTAATTTGTGATTTATTTGGTCTATCTCGTTGCTCAGTCGCTCGGCCTTACCAACATCCGTGTTATCATCAGCGCGGCTCCTTTCCCCAGCATCTATGCACGCCCGCACTTCAGCTTCAACCTTGTGCAGCCGTGTCTGTATTGCCTGGATGTCAGTCGTTCCACCTTCGACAGCGGTGTGCAGTTGGCGTATTTGTACATTTCGTTCTTGAGTTGAGATCATCATATTTCCCAACTCGGTGACCTTTCTGAGGAGTAAGTCAGTGTGGTGTTGACTCTCGGAAACGTTGTTCTCTGTTTCTTGACCTATTTCCACCTGTGTATATAAAGATAGATGGTGTTACGAGAGAGGTGAATGTATTGCATGATATAATTACAACTCAAATGCCAATGGTATACTAATTTTATTGTAATATATATTATATATTTGTATTCTCACCAGTTTTCCGAATGAGTGTTACGTCATCACGGACGACGTATCACCGCACAGTAGCTATATTTAATCGAATAGTGAGCAAATTGCGAGTTCAAGTTAAAGCGGGAGGGTCGTCACCTGCGCACGCGCGGGAATTGAGATCCAAGGGACGATAACAACACACGCTAAAAACGCAAAGGTTCATGGGTGGACGCTTGTTTGTAAACAATGACACGCTACGGCCATCTGACGCATGTGCAGGTGACGACTCCCCCGCTTTAACGTGTGAGGAACTAGTTGAGCGGACAGTGGGCATATATTGGTCGAAACGCATGCAGGAAGCATGCCGAGGATTTGTGTTTGACAGAGAAAATCGTGACAGTTCAATAGGAATATGTTTTGTTTTCATTAGACACATATGCCATATATTTGTATTGTATATGAACGGGGTATTGCAATATATCGAGGGAATATTTCAAAATTATCACGTAGTTTTACAACATGGCGTCTAGATATTTACAGCAAAAATCATCCCAAAGCATGTATGTTTTCTTTTACGTCATTGGTTTAATAAGCAAACGATCATTTTATTAACACAATATCATATAATAATTTATTTGTGCTGATGAAATTTCTGTTTCACAAATAACAGTTGACATCATTTTTAGCGGAATTATGTCAATATATATTGTGTATATATTAGTTTACAAACCATAGTGTTACAGCCAATTGTATGAAATGCACACATCTGTCTTTTCTTTGGACAATCACCACCTTCCACAGCTGTGTGACGGGAGAGCTGCAAAGGTCGTAAAGAATTAATAAATTAACAAAATATGAACTACATTTTCTATTTATATAAGTCAAGAAAACACAAATTCCCCATTACTAAACTTGACCATGATTAAATTGTATGTTTGCTGCTAATGAAGTTTCAAAAATGTGTAATTACACGTGTCTTTTTCAGACTATTTTTTCTGAATGGTATAATATTACCAACCTCGTCTCTGAGTAGCTCGATGTCACAATAACTGCATCGTACTTTCATTTTTGGACAACTTTGATAATGAATCTAAATAGACAATAATACAATTCAATATATGATATCACTGCACTGCGTGGGCAGTAACTCTATAAACCGTATCAACAAAATAAGAAAACCTTTCATGGTCACACATTTAAATCACGTGATACACATTGCCAACGTGATAAAGAAGTCTATCCATAACAATTTTTTTGAAAACCCAACCCTTTACTACCAGGCAAATTAATTGACAGCTGACTTGTCTGTTCACTGAACGTGACTGGAGCGATACCGCCGGTCGGGCGCAATAGCTGTGTGGGAGTGGTGGAAACGCAACAGTTTACAGTGACGACACGCAATGCCAACATAACATCTCTTATAAAATGTTACATTGAATATGAATATAAATACTGAGTATAAACAAGGATTCAGAAATTCTTGGAGTACACCCGAACATAGCATGGGTAAAACTAAGAAGGACGTGAGCTGTTTCACCATGAAACTTTGGAATACATTATTGTAATTGGTTCTACGCAACGCGTCTTTATCCGGGACAAGTTTGCACGAACAAAAGCGCCACTCCATCACCTAATGTTTAGAGTTTAGCGCGCTCTAACATGCCGCTGGGAGGGACGCTGTCAACGAATGACTTGCGCCGATAGAAATAATCTCTACATTTTTAGTATACTCTAGTATATTATACAGACGGCAAATACATGAAAGGCACGACAAAAATGCAAATAATATGAAACGCACGGATTTACCTTCAGTTCTTGGTATACAAGTTCAGTGTTACAATATTTGCATGTGATTAGCCGCATATTGCATTCGTTCTCAGAATGTGTCTTTAAATTGAGTCGGGGAATTCGATGAGAGCATCCCTTTTGTTGACAGTTGACTAGCATATATTTGCATATATCCTCATGTTCCTACGGGAAAATGATTGGCATTAGGGTTGCTTTTCATAATGGCTACCAACGACGGAGCAATATATATACTGTGTATGATAGTTTTCTAAAAATATTAGATCTAGTCATTCATCTCTTACATAGTATCAGTTACATTCCGTTCCCCATAGTATGAAATAAAAATATTTTTTTACAACAGCGGAACTCATGAAATATTCCCCGTCTTTAATACACTTCGATAATGGTGGAACATTTTCTATTACATTCATTCTTACCTGATATTCGGAAAATAATCCAGCCCAAGGACATTCCTTATTCTCGCACACAACTGGTATTGTTTTCATCTCACGGGCAATCGCACGATCTGGGTATATCTAGGTACATACATATTATATATTCAAAGTTACCCAGAGTAAAAATAAGTCCTCAACTACACAGCCGAATGTATAATGTAAGCTACACATGTATGGTTGTGATATCATCATAATGTTTTCGAGGCTTCGGTTCATTTTATACATAAAATATTTATATTTAATATATAACAAATGTTGTCTGTATTTACAATCAACTTCCCAAGTATTGCTCATATGTTTTAAGGGTGATTACATCATATAAAATATCTCTAATTTATACTCCGTTGCTTCGCAAATTTCAACATTTTTTTCTTTCGTTTGAAAAGTGTTTCATTGGTTTTTGCCACTAAATTGTTGATCTAGTGCATACTATTTTACGAGACAGTGACCGAGGAATCCAATTAACAGTTGTCAACGATTGCGCCACAATTTCGACCATTAGACTAACATAGAATGCGAAACCCTGTAGCTTCTGTAAAGTTGTCCTTATATGATTTTCAAAAAATACACAAAATATTTAATCAAAACTATTGCCACGTCAATACTTTTTATTTAAAGGTGGCAACCCCAGTAACACTGGAACAGGTAGAAATATATTTCGTGAATACATACTTTAGAATCGATAATGAATACCCTCACTAAAGGCTTGTTCTACTATCAATTTGTAATTATTTTTGATATAATTTTAACTGTTGTAATCCCCGTTTTGAGCGACGTCAAACTCCGGGATTGTTAATTTAGGTTCCGTCCGACCGTGTGTTCACCGGGCGTCCGCTGAAATGTTTTAGAAATGCTTTGACCGGCAACATTCAAACTAAACACAAAGTCCATGTGTGATAAAATATAAACATCGATTCTGTTGGCCGCCATTTTGTTAAACATGAATGACGGCCATTTCGTTCCTAAAATTTGCCAATTTTTCACACTTAAACAACTGGATTGCTTCCCTGAGATGAGCAGATTATTTAATTAAAACTTTGCATCAAGATTATTCAAGATTTGAAAAAGAAAAACGGTCAGGCGGCCATTTCATTTTATTTCATGTATATGCTGATCCTTCACTGATAAATTTTATTTGAACTCTTGCGCACATGTACAAAACTCGTAGGTGACCAATTTGACGGCCATTTTGTCTGTAATCCTAAAATCGTAGTCTGCGATTGTGTCCGAAACTATTTCACGGAGAAGTACACGGCTTTGTATCAGGATCCTACATACTGGGTTACAGGTGCGTATTTCTTTTGAAATTTGAAAAAAAACTACTCCACAATTATTTCCTTTTTTATGGTATGCTATTTTCTCGTTCTGGAGATTATTAATGACTACCTTTTGACAGTCAATACAATATAGTCATACAGAATTGAAATAGACATATAGATGAAGCATGAAACATTTTTTGAATGTGACTTGTTCTGAGCATTGGTATCGATTACCGCACATTGTCAGTGCTTTCTATAATATTATTGAATAGTGTACACTACCTTTTCATTTGTTAGTACGGTATCAC